CCCCCCCTCCGCACAAACCTAACCGATCAACTTAAGATCTAGAATCAGATGCTGAGTTATTATAGAAGATGATTAAATTAAGTATGAAATCTTAGATAAATCTAGTCTAAATTCATGTTTCTATGTGAAAGCAAACGTGCAGGCAATTTAAGTTTTAAATGTTGCTATGCTGGTATTCAGCAGGACAATAGAGCCTAGCCTAAAGAGCGGGCAATGTATTACTGTGATAACTTTTATCTGACCAAAGTTCAGCCGGCCAGCAGAACTCTTGCTTCATGAAGCCGGAATTGTTGGCATCAGGAACGTAACCACACAGCAAAGACGGTCCTGGCCCTGCAAAATTAGCTTGGCTACAGAATTCAGCCATTACAAATTGCAACTACATTGTTACAGCTGCCGCCTGGAGATCCTGAGGTTGCCTACCTGGTTAGAGGGAGTCACCCAAGGGGACTCTAGAGCTTAACAGCTTGGTCAGTGGCGGGCCGACCACTTCAGTCATAGGACTTTACCACTCCAGCAGTGCATCAGGAAAAAAGGAGGGGACTTCAGCACTGTGAACCAAACATCTCACAGACACAGGTGATTCAATGTTTCTAGAAACTCTGGCTTTTAAGCTTATACACTGCTAGTATGACGCAGCTGAGCTAAAGAAGCAGCTGCATTGCAGGAGGCCAAGCAAAGCTAATGCAAATGCTTACACTCTGTTTTCTTCCATAGCAAATTCTTCATATTTGGGACACTTCTACAATAGACTACCGTAAGGAGCCTGCACATCTTCACTGCTCCATCACTGAAAAGTAAATGTCCTTCAGATACAAAAACTTTCTTGTCTATTTGATCATAGTAAGCCTTGATTATATAAATGTATAAATATATATATATATTGCAACCATATATAGTTGCAAAAACTACATGCAAAATTTTAAAAATAATTTGACAACAAATCTCTCTACATACAGTGCATAAACAAAGTTCATAGGAGTACAAATTTGCATTTTAAATATCTATATACAATAATTATGTGCTATATTAAAAATATACGTGTTTTTTATATAATCCAAAGCCTCAGACTCACCTCCCTATGTAAGAAAGTAAAAATAAATAGCAACAAAACAGCTCAATGTCTTTCCTTGATTAGCACTAGAATTTTTATGTAAGGGATATGCACAAATGAGAGCCACATTTTCCTACTTAAAACATAAAGGTCTCTATTGTTCCATGCTATGCCAGCACTGCTATGAAAACTTAATTTCTCTGACTTTTTCCCCTCGAGAACAGAAGCACTGTTCACTTAGCTGTTCCAAACAGAATGCATGCTCGAAGGGTGAGATAAGAGGAAAGGAAGAACAGATTACTATATTCATTTACTACTTATTGGTATGAAAGCTTCCTACAAATGATCATAATTCACTGAATTATTTTAACCCACCATGTATGTACAACAGGTCTGTGTATTTGTCACATCCACTGAGTTAATTTCCCTGTTTGTGTAAAAATATCTGTAAGGCTAATACAAGCCATAAACACAGAAATATTATTGCAGAAATAACACAACAGTAAAATCACAGGAAACAGACCAAATACTTGATTCATATTATACATTAAGAGATCAAATGCAGGGGTTAATAAGAAAAAAAAATATATTTATAGTCACCACCTGGAGGGGGGGGGGGGGGGCGGGGGAAGAACAAAAAATGTGCATTTAATTTTTTTTTTTTTTTTTTTTTTACAAGAAAACACTCTCCACATTGTAGTTATACAGATTGTTTTGCTGTGCCTGTTAGTCCTCTATTATAGCAGAATGCTTCCCACTTAAGTAATTATTCAGCAAGAACATCATGTTTATTTCCAGGCTGGCAAAGGAACTCCTCCAGAAATTGCCTAATTAATGGCCTCACACCCTAAAACAATTCAGTATGATGTGGCAGTGGTGTGAAGTGGTGAAACACTGATGCACATTAAAAGCCCAAGTCACATCAGAAATACCTCATGAGGAACCCTAAACACATCCTCACCTTTCCATACTTAGATGAACAGAAGTAACCCCAGACCTCATCCACAAAACTTCTCCCTTTTCCCTCCAAAAAAAGCTTACAAATGAAATACAAACGCACTGTGTGAATATCTTGTAAGATAAGTATGTGGCTCATATTAATTCCTTCATGGGAGTGTGACCACGCACCACGCAGTGAACATGCTGTGACAGCAAGTTTGTGCTTTCACAGATTAGGACATTAAATGCCACAATAATAAGCAGCACCATAAACCTCCACCACCTGGCGCAAAACAAAACATACAGATCTGTTCGTGCAGCTTTTCAATTGCCTATTTAAATGGAAAAATATTTTTTGAAAGATACTAGGAGGGCAAAACTGTCATGGAGTTCCAGAGCCATCAAGTCCGTTCAACTGTAGCACTGACAAAATGTCATGTAATCCATTTAATCAATTTAACAAATTCCACCACCATTCCACCATAATTCATTTTTCCACTGTTTCTGTCCTACTGAAGGCTGCTCCAGAGTCTCATCACTAACTGCTAGAAGCTTCTTCCAGTTCTCAACCTAAGTGCTTTGAGGACCAATTCATAAGCATAGCTGATTATCTCACCTTTACCATGGTTATCTTCCTCTCCCCAGATGTTATTCATACATCTCAACAAAAAATCACATCCTCTATTTTGCTAAGCTAAGGATCTTCTCATCTTACTCCTCCTGAAGCAGTTTCTCTTGCTGTGATCATCCTGCTCACTTTTCCTTCTCAGTAGTCACATTTCAGATTAATCCTTGAGTACCAACAGCCAAAATCTCCTTTATAAAATCCATTGACGATTACTTTATTTCTACCACAACAGACAATCTTTCACTCTTTAATTCAAAATAACATATCCTGGATGTGCTATATTATTTCCACAATAACATTTGAGGCATTTATGATTTCAATTCTAAACTTAGAAAATTTTGTATTATTTCTTAAGGAAATAAAAATTAGACCTACAACAGTGCATTATTACATATTATTGAACCACTGTATATATATATATATATATTTCCAGACAGAAGGATTGTAAATATCTGTAATTTTGAGAAAATACTTTATTTTTCAGAGTAACTATTTTTCATTATGATCTAACACTATGCACTTACCGTTAGATACAATTTATTCCAGGGAATGGTTATAGTGTTAATATCAATAATGAGAAACAAACCTATCAAATTTTTAATAAACATATATATGCCATATATATTCACTTTCTGTATATAACTTATACAGAATGTATGTATGTACACAGAATGTATGTATGTATTAATGTGTTTGTACATACAGACATGTATAAATATAAAATTATATGACATTTAGATTGTATATAGAAGGTATGTAATATGCAGGTATGGTATATGCTTATATATAAGTAATATGTATTATACAGAAATTCAGAATTTGTATTTGTGTATCTATATAAAATGTGCATATGTATACATTTATAACTATACATATAGATATGCACAAGTATATCTTTAATATAAATCTAAAATTATGCATTTTCCCTCAAATCAATCTTAAACCCAAATGAGTTTCTAAGGATAAGACATCTTCTGAAAAATAGTGTTCAACATAAGGTTCAGCATGGCCAAGCGAAATATCCTATTGTTACTATGTTTACTAATTGAAGGCATTTTGTTAAATGAAATGTCATCATGTTAGCAAGACTCTTATAAGTGAAAACAAAGAAATTATGAAAAGCTTACCTCATACCATAAAGAGGTCTCAAGAAAGGAATTAAATTCCCACTTTATTAAGCTCTGAATTATAGTTAGCTGTTCTGTTGTAATCCTAGAACGCTTCAAGCCACTGTTGTTTTTCTTCTGCTCAACATAATTCCAAGCAACAGTTCCAATGTGCCCTGAAGGTAAAGTTCTAACAATTGCTCTCGTTCCAGTATAAACTGATTTTTTAACCTCCTTATCATTTTTACAAAAACGTCTTATTAATAATGTGGAACGTTCCTTTTTGTTTCTAAAAAAATCCTCCTCCATCTCTTCTTCACAGTTATCATTGCAGTCTTCAAAATGGCTCAGAAAGGGCTTTGAGGGCATCCTTCCAGTAAAGTTGTTTCCAAAGAAGCTGTGACCCGAGCACACTTTAGCCTTTCGTGGTGCTCTCTCCAGACAGAAGTACTTATCCCTCAAAGCGTCGTCATACAAGTGTTGCCCATTTTCATTCTCACAATTATTTGTCAACTCCACTAATGTGCAAGTGCATGCCGGGGAAGCAGTAGTGCTACTATTGCCAACACTTACTGGCTGTAAGCAGTCATTCAATATGAAGCCATTGTGCAATTTGCACAAAGCCTTTGATATATTCCTTTCACTAGCACAATGAAAGTGAAAAAAGGCTACTTCATCAGTATCATTGCCATCACTCTTATTTACTGCTGTCTGGCTTCTTAGTGAAGGTCCATTCATTTTCAACTGAATTTCAGCAAGCATAGCTCTTTCCAGTGAAACAGGAATTCCAGTTTCTAGGCACGCCTCTCCCCCTGCTAAAGGGCCACAAGATTTATACAACTGACCGTACGGGATATTGCTCTTGTAGTTCTTCTGCACAATGTTACAGTTAATGTTAAGAAATTGCACTGAATCAGAGATGGCGTTATTCCTCTTCCAGAAGCTTTCATTAATATTGTCATCGGTCATTTGTTTATTTGTCAAAGTGAATATTTTGGGCACTGAGCCCTGAAGACTTTCTTCTTCCAGCCTGTGTAAATATGAGACAGCGCGTGTGGTTTGCCTTCCTGGACTGGCAGTATGTCTTTTTATAACACTGGTGTCCAAAGCATTTTCAGTATTTTCATCTCCAGCTGACTGAGCAGGTATCACTTTACCCTGCACGACAGAGACCAGAACAGAAGCTGTCATCTCTTCAGAGGTCATCTTGACAGTCTTTAGCTGCTGAATGTGTGGTGGGAAGGGAGTGTCTACAAATCCTCACTCCATTATTTCTGCATAATAAAAGAGTGCTAAATAACCAAGAAACACATGATAAAACACATGCTGACTACTTGCTCCTTTTGAACCAGGGAAAAAAAAGAAATAACTTTGTTGTTATTTTACTGTTGGACTACAGGGCTCTCTTGGTTGTATGTTATTGGCAAGAAATGCAAACATTTTCAAACCAGCTTCTTAATGTAGTACAGCTTTTCAACTTGTCTCTTCCTACAATTAATTCTTCTATATGTAGCACATACATTGTTGCCTTAGGTTGTAGAAGACCAAACACATAATCCATGCCAAAGATACACCCACTCAATAGTACATCCAAAAAGTTGAGGTTTTCTGTAAAGAAAAGAAAAAACATACATATTTTAAATAGAATCTATGGCATAAAGTCCATCATCACAGTTATGACAAAATGAAATTGTTTTGGTGTAATGCAGCTTTTGTTCACAGTAACCTTTACAGTATTACTGCGCAACCATGAACAAAACACAGTTTTTTGCCATAAGTTTATCACTGATAAAGTCAAGCAGGAAGGCAAAGTAAGTTAAAATACTAAACCATTTATAAAAAAAATCAGGAAGGCTTAAAAATCAAAGCGATTTGACATGCAAAAACTATTTTATTACTATTCCTATATTACTCTCCTCAATTTACTATAATTAACATTTTATTTTAATTTTAGAATATCAGCTTTCATCCTTACTGGTTGCTGCTCTTCATCCAAAATCAGTTCGCCACAAATCAAAAGATAAAATGCACTCTTTAGTTCACAGGATATCTGATACGCCATTTTCTCATGAAATAAAATGCTAAAGTACAACTAAATGCAAGAGTTTTCCTGCAATTGATCTCATGAGAAAGCAAAAAAAAATTTAATGAAAAGCTACATTCAGCTACAAATATGATGACGTAAGGTTTGCTAGCATTCTTTCATTCAGAAAGTAATTATAGTTAATGCATACCAAAAAAAACAAAACAAAACAAAAAAAACAAACAACCAACCACAATGCAATTTAATCCTTAAAACAAGGTTTCAATTTTATTGATGTAACAATGAAAGAGATATGAGGGAGAGCTGCAAAGGAAAGTGACACTGACAGAACAAAGAGCCACAAGTTTCACATTCTCCACACATTACAACACTCGTGTGCATGCCAGAGCAGCACAAGGATGGAGACCCCAGTCCTGGACAAGAGGAAGTTTTATCATCAGAAATAAAATAAAAGCTGGAGTTCACTGAAGAGTTGTAGAGAAGGAAATAGCAGTAGTTAGATAGAGTGGTGAGGACAGAATTAAACTAGGATCATACAGTTCACAAAACATCCCATAAAACAAAATTCTGTGACAGTACAAATGTAGAGAAGATGCATTAAGAAAGCAACACCTAAGCAATTCCTGAAGCCTGTATCCCACGATGGACTCCGTAAAATAAAGTCGTATCCTGAATTTCATTTTAGTTCACTTTAAATATTTGATAGTGTGGTTTTTTTGTTTGTTTGTTTGTTGGGCTTGAGCATAAATTTTTGTTTGAATTATTTTTAAGAAAAACACGCACAGACACACACAAAAACAACTAAGAATCTTAGCAATAATTTTATCCTAACATTTCCTATCCTTTTTCCCTGTCTTTGGTTAAATCCCTAGATAACAACTTCCATCACTTTTTAGGACCACACACTTGAAGAAAACTGAGAGCAACTAATCTAGAAATACTCTGATTTTATTTCTTCAAGCCTAAATCTACATACAGCAATGCTTATCAAAGGGGGGGAAGAGGGGGGGAAGCTAATAGGTAGCTGCTTCTTCTTGATCTTTGTTTTACTCATGATTTTTTGTTGCTATACAAAATAACAGTACTTCATAACAGATACAAAACATGCATATTTTAGTCTTCAGTATCCTTTGAAAGATTTCTTTCATCTATCTAAACATCTCAGTCTATTGATTCATCCTTCCTGTCTGCAGCAGAAAAATTCCATGCAATCCTATGAATATACAAGTAACTGAAATATATTCACAAAAATACTCTCTGTAATACTGCTAAGCCAGAAATAAATACTAATGGAATAGGTTATTACTGCAAAGAATATACCATTCATTGCGCTAGTTGATCAATTAAATCCTTACTAAACAATGTCACTCTAAGAGGACAAAAAAACCACTTAATTACACAACTTTGACAGCTTGTGTAAGTGAATTCAAGATCACAAAAACAACCACGTATATTGAAATTCTTTCATCATTCTTTAATAGAGAAACTTTAAAATCATAATATTAGTAATAAAAGAAAAAATCACATTGCTGATTTGCTTCTGCAAACACAAAACTCCATAAATCAGAGGTCCATTTATATCTCAGAGACTGCCCACAAAGCTCATTCAGTGGCCCAGACTGTTCTTCCAGGGTTTTCCCAAAAGCTTCCTTCAACTTCCTTGTCCCATCTCTCTTGACATCGATTTCCACATACACAGCCTCCAAACTGCTTCTATCAGATCTCTTTTTCCTCTAGAAAATTTCATTCCAAATCTTCCCCATCGCAGACTTTTTTGCTCACCCTTCTCCTCAGCTCCAGAGTCTACATGCCTGCCTGTCCCCCAGCATCACTCTTCTATATGTGTCTGTCTGAAATCTACTTCCTCAGGACTAATGTCTGCTTAAGAGTATCTATGTCTACATCCAGCTGTTCCCATCCTCTCATGGCCACTGCAATGTGATAGGGAACTGATCCACCTCAAGAATTCTTTGCTCAAGTATCTTTACAGCTAGATCACTTTCCCAATCCAGTCTCTGTATGGTTGTGGGAACACCTGTGCTACAACAGCAAACAGACAGCACTGGGAAGAGAAGAAAAGGCCACTTCAATTGGTTTACACATTTCTGCAATCTGCAAATGTAGTTTGATGTTTCAGCTATGTCCATCCAGCATCTGGCCATCACCAAAACTGTCAAATTCCCTTCTGTCTGCACTCCAGGCCTTCAAGTCCCCATTACCTCCCCTCATACATCTTGACACCACAGCTCCACTCAGTTAAGTTGATTCAGCCACAAGATTTGTCAGGAAACTTCCCTTTTCACCCAAACAAATTGATTTGCCTTGTGGTCAAACGATCACTCAAACATACAGGAATAAAATATCAGAACTGCTTAGCAGGGACCGCACATCTCAACAGCTGATTGAGTTTAGATTATGCTTGCTATGATGTCTAAAACCACCCTGAGCATAAAACCACAGAGTAAGAGAAAAGCTATCTAATGCATGGGTATGTTAAAATCTCATAAAGCAGAAAGTAAAAAGCATGCCTCTGATCTGTAGACAACTGCAAAACTATCTCAAACTGAGCTCTGTTTAACAGATGACAAGGGTTTCACATATCCTCCATTACTCTCCTCTCAGTTTCTGCTTTCCACTGTAATCAACAGAATTCACTTTAGCACGCCCAGCAAATTCCTTAAAATGTTGGAATTCATTAGACAGGTTACAAAGCGTGCTAATAGTGCTATAAATGTTACCAAGTGCAGAACTCACAAGCTCAACCAATAAAACAGTACTTTGCAACTTACTGCAAAATTGCAGAATTTTCACTCCCTATGCCTTCCTCGACCTGCATATGGGTGGCCAAAGCCTAGATCCTTGTATGGAAACCTCAAATATATAAGTGCATTTGAATATAAAATTATTCAAAACCACATTTTCCTGTTGCACATTCAGCTCAAAGCACACTGAATTCACAGCTAAATCTGCATATAAAAGCACATGAACTAGATGATTAAACCTGCATTCTATCCAACACATGCTAATATTTCCTAAAGCCAGTAGATTAGCTGACGAAATCCATTAATAATCACACTGGTTTATTTTACAAGGCTCAAGTTATGTCAGAAATGTAATGCGCTCCTTCTACTCAGAAAAGGAAAGTAAAAATATAAGAAACTAGTTCCAGCATTAGTGAATCATCTTGGATTCATAGGTCAGCCAACAAAGACATAGGAATAATGAAAATAAACAATGTGGCGACCTTTCAGCACACATTCACAAAATATATTAAGCCTGAAAACACAGGACACAAAACCAATTTGCCTACTTTTTTTTTCCACTGCTGCGTACAGTTTAAGACTAAAAGTTCAAGCCAGTTGTAATTAGTATTAAAAATAATTTAAAATAATATTTAATAGTTCCTCATTCCCCAGCTATTTGGGATTAAAGATCACAACAGAGTAGGTAAAACATACTGCCAGAATAATCAGAGACTATAAAACTGGTATCAGTTTAACCTTTAATTCCTTATTCAAACTAATTTCCTATTGAGATCAATAGAAATTCTTGTTTAGATAAAATAATAGAGTATGCCAAGATTTACTGTGCTATTTAGCCTAAGTAAAGGTATCTAGAGGATCAGAACAGTCACACAGTGTGGTACACCAAAGAACCTTTAGATACTAGGCTGTCAGGGAAAAGATGATTAGCTCAACAGTTGAAGATGCTGCACTGTGGGAAGAAGCAGAAACTCTGTCAGTGGCAAAGCAGGGCTATGGGCCTCATAGTAAAGATGAGGATTATTCAGAGAAGTTGCATGCTGCCAGAGATGCCAAACTCAATTCAGTATTTGTGATGCTGTGGGAGATTTAGGGAGAAGTGGGTAAATGCTTGGTAGGAGCCAAGAGTCTAGAGAAAAAGGGGGACTGACAGACATATGTGAGAGAGAACAAGGCACATGCCAATGGTTTCCATGGGCAAAGTGCTACTAGAGTGGGATGAAAGGTAATTCAAGACAGCTGAAGGGCAAATGCAAGCTGCCTGAAAATCTCTGCTTCTTCAAAGGCTGTGCTGAGATGCTATTCCAGCAACTTTTATCCTACGTGTTTTGTGTATATGGTGACCATTCATCCTAAATTGAGTTTCAGCAAATTAATAAATATGGCCACAATGCACATGGTGTAAGCAACCAGCAAGTACGAGATTCCTGGGAAACAGTAAACTAGTGGAATATTTTGGCATGGGTTAAGTGGATACAAAATCGTAAATCATTATCTCATGCCACGCAGAAAACTGTGTTTAAACAATGTAATCTCAGTTTAAGCCCTTAAGGAAACAACCGATTCCTGAGAAAGGTTGTTTGTATACTATGACTGCACATTAGCAATAAAAATGAGTTTATTCAGGTCTTTTTTAAGAAATAAATAAACTACAGGTTTTTTCCCAGACTAAGTTCTTAAAAGGAGTAAGAAAACCACATTTATTGACTCCTCTTTAATTTACCCTTTTATCCTGTATCACATACATTACTAGTTTTTAGCTTAGTGTCTTATCTCAGAAAAAAGCAGAACAGACTAGCGTA